CCTGCATCCATTCCAGTACAGTCCCCAGGCAGCGCTGGAGGGACAGGACGGCATCTCCTGCAGTTGGTGAAATGGAGATGTAGAGCTGAGTGTCATCCGCGTACTGATGACACAAAGCTCCGCACCCCCTGATGACCCCACCCAGCGGCCTCATATAGATGTTAAACAGCATTGGAGAGATGATTGACCCCTGTGGGACCCCACAATTGAGGTTCCACGGGGTCGAGACACTCTCCCCAAGCTGAACTCTCTGGGGACGGTCCTCCAAGAAGGAGCGGAGCCAGGCTAACGCTGAGCCACTGATTCCTAGCTCAGATGTTCAGTACCAGTGGTCATTGCTCCACGATACTCAGAGGATGTTTTCAGATGGAGAATTCCCTGTATTAACAATTAGAAGACACTGGAACATGTGACGATAGGGCGTGTGCAGTTAGTTGTTCCATCTCATTCTCCTCGTGGTTTTTCCCCCAAATTCATAAAACAAAACAGAGAAGGAGTGGACGGCATTGCAAACCAAGAATGGCACGGTGCGAAGCCCTTGGAAAAAAAACATGAATGAGGCAACACAACCGTATTATTGTGGTGTGTGTGTGTGTGGGGGGGTGTCTCGTGCTTTTAAGCCAGCCCCTCAGACTTCACAGTTTCTATTTCGTGGATGTGGTTGATCCTCTCCAGGTTTTAACCTGAACTTTATAGGAGCTGAACCGTGTTGCCAAAAGAGAGCAGCCTCCCGGAAGGTTCAGGCCTCATCTGAAGGGGACTCCCCTCCGTGAAATCGGAGACACCGATGTCCACTCCTTGACCACATGTGTAGGGGACATCTAAGATCTAGAGTTTCCTGCTACAGTCCTCATTTAAAATGAAATGCAGTAAGATCAATTGTGCTTAGCACAGATTATGCAAATTTTGCATCTCTCTCTCTCTCTGTCTCCCCCTCTCACCCCCAAGAGAAACCATCTGCCTCTGAATATTTGCGACAAAAATTATGGATGCTGTTTGGTTTTGATCTTTCTTTGACGAAACCGTCTCTGTGGGAGTTTGGAAGATGATGAGGCCAGAAGGACTCAGGCAAGTGAGCATTCATTCCAAAGCTGCCCTGTGCCAGCCTCGGGGGCTCAAGAGTTGCTGGATCTCAAGGCGGCAAGTCAACATTTATATTCCAAGTTCGTTTGCCGTTTAAATATCTCTCTGTTACCCTGGTTTAATTTTCTCCACCTAGGAGACCATTTTCACATCTGTGGTGTCTGCAGCTCCTCAGCTTCTTCCATAAAACCCCTCAGGAAGTGCAAAGAGTCTTAACAGACTATGAAATTAACCCAAATTGGGGATGCTGGAGGCTGTAGTCTAAAAGGCTCTGATCTAATCGACCATCTGGTTTCCTGACTGCGGCCCCAAAGAATCCACCAACAAGACGCAAAGAAAATAGATCTCCCTCTTGTATCTCAGCAACTGTTGACCCTATGATCACAGAAGGGGGGCGGGGAGGTCATCTAGTCCAGCCCCTTGCTAAAGCCAAAATCCTCTGCCCTAAGGATCTCTGACAGGTGGTCATCCAACCTCTATTTACATACCCCCCCAAAGCTAGAAAATCCACCACCTAATGGTTATTCCTAAGGTTGAATCAAAATCTCTTTCCTGTTCTGAATTGTTAGCATCCTTCTTGAAGTGTGGCATCCAGAACTGGACACGATACTCAAGGGGAGGCCTCACCAGTGCTGAATAGAGTGGAACCAGAACCTTGCAGGATTTCAAAAATATATTTCTGTTACTACATCCTAAAATAGCATTAGCCTTTTTTGCAGCCACATCACACAGTTGGCTCATATTCAGCTTGTGATCTACAAATGAGATCCTTCTCATTTGTAGTATCTCTGAGCAAAGTATCCCCCATCTTGTAACTGTGATTTGAGTGCCCCTTCAGGTGTGAGGGGACATGGTGGCGCTGCGGGTTAAACCACAGAAGCCTCTGTGCTGCAAGGTCAGAAGACCAGCAGTCGTAAGATCGAATCCATGCGACGGAGGGAGCTCCCGTCGCTTGTCCCAGCTCCTGCCAACCTAGCTGTTCAAAAGCATGGAAAAATGCAAGTAGATAAAGAGGTACCAACTCAGCAGGAAGATCACGGCACTCCGTATCTAGTCACACTGGCCACATGACGACGGAAACTATCTTCAGACAAAACGCTGGCTCTACAGCTTGGAAAGGGGGATGAGCACTGGCCCCTAGAGTCGGACACGCCTGGACAATTTGTCAAGGGGAAACTTTACCTTACTCAGGTGTAGAGTTTTGCACATATCCCTGTTAACTTTCATTCTGCTGTTTTCAACCTAGTCTTCTACCCTATCTCAATCATTTTGAATTTGAAGGTGTTAGCTGTTCCTCCCCATGTTGTGTCATCCACAAATTCGCTCACTATTCCCTGCGCTCCTTCACCCAAGTCTGTCCATTCAATACAACCCATTAGTCACCAGACCTTTAGTAAAATGTCCGCCTGTGGCTTTATATCTGTAGAGTCCCATTTGCACGTTCAAGTCAAGGCTTTATTGGAGTCATCAAATAAAGAAGCCACACATGGGAAGCCACTCAAGGACCACCTTCTTGGTTTTCATTCTTTGGCTGCAATGCTGAAGTGGCCACTTAACACACTGTCAGGCAAGAGGACTGGAGTTTGCATAAGGCTCCTCATGACCCAAGTCTGTCCATCCAATATAGCTCTTTGGAGAACTCTAGGTCATCCACAGTGAAGATGCTCAATCTATGTAGAGGAAAGTCTTCAATTCATGCCACTTCTCCTTCCACACCACAGCCCCAAAGGCACCCATAATTGTGGTTTATGCTCGGTCAACCAATGACTCATTTGAATTCATGCCTTACTCTGTGGGTCCTGATCCTTAGGCCAGCCTGAGATGCATTCACTCGTCAGTCAACAACATTTTGTCCAGGCAGCTCTGTGTCTACTTGAACCATCCTCCCATTGTGATGGCCATCTACCAGGTCCTAGGTTCAGGGTCTCCCTAGGTCCTCTGCAGGGGCTCTTACTTTTTCAGGCCCCACCTTCCTGGCTTCTGACCCATCCATCTGGGTCTCATTCAAACCATCCCGATTTTTAAAGATGGAATTTCGTAGGCCTTTAGTTGGCCTCCGTGGAAATACTAGGCGAGAGAGGTTTTCAGTCTGAAACGGTGTGAAATTCTTATCTATAAAATTCACTGATCATCTAAATTTTGTCAAGGGGAAACTGACCAAACATTGCGCACACAGACACACACACAGACACACACCCACACCCACACCCACACCCACACACACACAAAGTTTGCTTTGGAGGCCAGTTAGGGGCTTCAGAATGGATCCTAATTGATTTCAAAGAAATCTGATCATTTTTGAAGTCAACACCCGGGGGGGGGGGAGATAGCTTTTCTTCTGTTTTCACACACTCAGATGTATCTCAGATCCTAGCGAAGAGAGTAAACTGGCAAATTTCAGAGATGCAGCAGAGTGAGTCCCAGGGACCATTGAAGTAGGGATGTGCACTGGTCCCCCAACCTGGTCCATGGCTGAGGGAAAGCACCCAGATTGGTATCTGGCCCACTCTCTGCAATTCTGGCGTTTCCGGCTGCAACGGGGGCACTTTCTTAGAAAAGAAGGGATGAAGTTCAGTCTCTGGGGAGGACGTCACCGCTCACCTGTTGGAGAAGACCTTGCTATAGTTGAACACCTGGATCTCCAGCATCTCGTTGACATCAATACTGCTGGCGATTGGCCACCGAAAAGTCTGTGGGCAGAAGAAGAGGGGAAAAAGTGTTTGTTGGTTTGTTTATTTAACATTTAATCCCATCAGGGAATCCTTTTTGGGGACCCCCACAAAGATCAGGAGATTTCCTGGAGCAGCAATAGGAAGAAATGCTGAGTGTGGTCCCCTCACCTCATTGGCCACCGAAAAGTCTGTGGGCAGAAGGGAAAAAAGTGTTTGTTGTTTTCCTTATTTATTTAACATTTAATCCCGTCAGGAAATCCTCTTCGGGAACCCCCACAAAGATCAGGAGATTTTCTGGAGCAGCAACCTTCTCATTTCTTACAGAAGAATAATTTTGACAGGTCTGTTCTGCATACAGTGGTGCCTCGCTTAATGATTGCCCTGCATTACAACGAAATCGCTGTACAACGATCTTTTTGTGATCACAATTGCAATCGTAAAACGATGGTCTAAATAGGGTTTTTTCCGCTTTGCGATGATCGGTTCCCTGCTTCGGGAACTGATTCTTTGCAAAATGATGTTTTTTAAACAGCTGATCGTCAGGGTTTCAAAATGGCCTCCGGGTGCTTAAAATGGCTCCCCGCTGTGTTTAGGGACGGATTCCTCGCTATACAGGCAGCAAAATGGCCGCCGTATGGAGGATCTTCGCTGGACGGTGAGGTTTTACCCCATTGGAATGCATTGAACGGGTTTCAATGCATTTCAAAGGGGTTTTTAATATTGTTTTACGATGTTTTCTCTTAACGGCAATTTTCCTGGAACGGATTATCGTCGTTAAGCGACGCACCACTGTATTTGCTCCTCTTTGTTGCCTCTGGTCAGGTCCAGGCTCTCATGTGGCTCTGCTTCAAAGGATTGTGTTAGTGTGAGGTAATGTCACAAATAACGCAATAACTGAATCACCCAATGCAGGAAAAGAGAGAGAGGAGCCATTGTTACGGGGAGGGGAGGAAGGTTGCCTCTACAATATGAGGGTCATCACAGCCTTCGCTGTTGGCTCTTCTGTTTTGGCCCAGCTGTATTCAGGCAACTTCATTAATATTCACTGTTTGCTCACATAGCGGGAGATAAGACGGAATCAGGATCCTTTCCAAAGTCTCAAACAGGCCAGAGAAATGAGGGAATCCTGCCCAGTCCTGCTTGTGGCAGGCTTGTGATCAGGCTGCTAATATTGGCTTTCAAGGCAAAGTGTGAGCCTGCTGAGAGAAATGATTGCACACAAAAGGTTAAGGAGCATCTCCCGTCGACCCGAGCACCGTGTCGTGCTTCCTTCTCCCACAGGTAGAATCACAGAAATCCTTGTCCCAAACGGCAGGCTGTTGATTATGGGCAGGCGCAGAAACTGAGCCGAGATGATGCTCCCAGTTGGGAGGAAGAGGAGGAAGAGGTCCCTAAATGCAAGGGGGGCCAGGAAATTGTTATATTAATTAATGCTCCCAGTTGGGAGGAAGAGGAGGAAGGGGTCCCTAAATGCAAGGGGGGGGCAGAAAATTGTTATTTTAATTACTTTTATGCTATTTTATTGTAAGCTGCCCAGAGCAGACACTGTCTAAATAGGCAGGGAATGAATGAATGAATGAATGAATGAATGAATGAATGAATGAATGAATGAATGAATGAATGAATGAATGAATGAATGAATGAATGAACTCCTGACTACCACCCCCCCCCAGCACCTAGTTTCTTATGGCCTAAGCCTCAAAGTGGAGGCATGCAAAAGAGGAGGAGGAAGAAGAAGAAAACAGAAGGACAGCGAAGTGAAAGCAAACCGAGGGAGTCTCTGCCCGGCTGGCTTTCCTGTCCGTCAGTCTGTTTGCTCGCCGACTCTACTGGATGTCTCAGGGCCGACCAACACTGAGAGATGGCAGGGAGTCTGCCAGGGTCAGTTTTTGTCTCTCCACATTGGCACGTGTGTAGACAGTTTGATTTTATTTTTCACATCACCGATAGTCTTGTTCCAGTTGTAGCAAAGTTAAAACCCAGGATGAAGCCCCTCAGAGGCATGAGAGTCTCTCTTTCTGTTAAGATAATGGAGCTGACCTCCTTGAGCCATCATCAGCCAAGGAAGGTCAGAAGAATGCATGGGAGGACTTCTAAGACTCTTAGGTAGCTATAACCCATACCCACATTCTATCTATCTATCTATCTATCTATCTATCTATCTATCTATCTATCTATCTATCTATCTATCTATCTATGATGTGATGTGATTTGTATCCTTTTCCTTTACTCAGTCAATAGGCTGCTTGTTTTGTGTCAGGGCTGTAACTTGGGATTCATCTATTCCTTTGATTGGAGAAGCCCCTTCTGATGAAGGCTGGGGACAGCCATGATGCGAGGAGATCAAAAGGATTTGCAAGCACATCTATGGGCAGCTCCTCCCTCCCTCCCTTCTTCTACTGATGAAGGCTGGGGACAGCCATGATGCGAGGAGATAAAAAGGATTTGCAAGCACATCTATGGACAGCTCCTCCCTCCCTTCTTCTAGTTTTCTTTTCCTTCCTTCCTTCCTTCCTTCCTTCCTTCCGCTTTCTAACCCCATTTTTCTTTCTACAATTTTCTATTATTTTTGCTGTCTGCTTCTCTGTATTTTTTTGTTAAGCTCCGAATACATTTATTTGACCACCCTGTATGTTGCATCTGTCTTCCTGACCTCACTGGGGCGAAGAACTATATTGGTTGACCAGAACAGAGTTTTAAATATGGGGAGAGGTTGTCAGGACTTATACAACCGATACAAGCCCACCATGGCTAGCTCTTGTTTTGAAATCATTAATTTTAAGAAGGAGAGCTGATAACAGGTGGAAATGAAAGGAAAGTGCTGAAAACAGTTTTATTCCTTGTTTTTTTTTCCTGAATCCTGATGCAATGCAATATGCAAAGAAGCCTGTACTGTGAGTGAAAGCAGGGTATTGACTCTGAAATGAACAGCTTGGGTGGTGGATATGTGATGAAAAACAAGGAGCAAATGCTAGCAAATACCAGGGGCGCTGTTTGGCTGCTTCCTGAACACTGGCTGACAAATCTGAACGAGCAAGCTGTGTTTGGATCAAGATGCTTAGGGTCTGATTCTGCAATCTGTGTGGAGGGGCTACAAATGTTCCAAGTCTGCAGTCAGGCAATCTAGATTTATGGTTAGGAGACGATGAACTCTGCAGCCTGCATCAGTTATGCAAATACTGTGTGTTCTCTACTCATCATTTGGCCCTCTCCAGAAATTACAGCAAGGGAACAAATAATCAAAGGCTCAAGTTAAAGGGAGCCAGATTTAGGATGAAGATCAGGAAAAAGTTCATAATTGTTAGAGTAGTACGACAAGGGAACCCATGACCTCGAAAGGGGGTGAGCGCTCCAGTGCTGGAGGCAATTCAAGAGAAAATGGAACAACCATCTGCTTTGATCTACTTTGACTTCGATCCCTGCCTGGAGCAGGGGGGGGTTGGACTGGATGGCCTTAGAGGCCCCTTCCAACTCCATCATTCTATGATTCTGTGAAACGATCCTGCCAATAATGGTCAGTCTTAACTCAAGTCTTCACTCAACCTGGTATGGTGTGTTGCACTACAAATCCCACCACCCTCAATCAACGGATCCAATGGCGGTGCCACCTATGAATGATGGAGTTTGTAGTTTAGCTTGTCTGGAGCACAGCAATTTGGGGAAAGTCAATGACATCATCTATCTGGACCTGCAAATTTGGTTCCAATGTTCAGATGCAGAGCAATGCCATGCTCACCCCTTTTGTTTCTTGAGAGGCAAACCAAGAACAGGAGACACACCAGAGATGGACCAATTTCCCTCATTTTGAATCACAAATGGATGCAAGAAAAATGGTGATTATCGATGGTAATAGAATAGCCAACTCGGAGTGTTTAGTACAATTGTGAGTTATCTTCTGTGGTTTTCTTAAGATCTGAGGAATGTATTCAAACGGAAGAGATGAAATAGTTTAAAAGGAGGGGCTGAATGAACTAAACTCTCTTTATAGCTGTTTAGTGTCTTAACTACCAGAGACCTGACACGACCAGCCTCTTTGTGTGAATTCAACGGAGGTGCCCGGGGCTGCACCCACCCTGCCTCCAATCTCTCTGTGTTTCGTTTTTCTCGGGAGAACTGCTGAGCAAACAGATTGCACGTCATTCAACGAAGACAGAGCGCAAGGGAGGAGAACTGGCGCAGCCCCCCAGATCTCTGTTCTGCTACTTTCCTGTCACCGCAGTCGAGAAAGAAAAAAACACCATCCACAGCATTTCTAGGAATGGGAACAGCAGCAGGAAACCTCATTACAGCATCCTGGATTCTGCCTTCTCTGGCACTCCTGGCAGATTTAATGTCAAAAAGGAGGAAAAAAGGAACATGCAGTATTTAATGAACAGCTTCCCAATCACTGCGCTCTACAAGCGGAAGAAGTGAAGGGAGAAATGGGATTTTCCTGAGCGGGCTGGCATTCAGTCTGGGGGCTTGGGTTCAAATGTATACGTATCCACAAAACTCACCGGCTTGCGTCCGAAATCCAGACTATAAAGGGAGAAGCCGTTTTTGAAACTAGTTTCCTACTAACAGTGGTCCTGTTCTGTGACAATTTGAGTGAGGATTAACAACACAGAGAGGGAAGAACACGGGGCTTGTCTGCACACAGATGTTGCCTCCGGTTTTTCATGGCCCCTCGGCTAGTTTGTTTTTTAAATTCATTGATCTGCTGTGGTTGCAGATTTGAATAGATCATTCGGGCACGGGCGTCCATACACAGGGTTGGATGCTGGATCTATCAGCTTATACTGTCCACACACATCTTGAATGGGTCCTCAACATCTCATTGCTAATACCGACTGCCCTCCCTTTTTGCCTGTTTTTCTCACCCTCCACCTTGGAGAGTGAGAAAAATAGGCAAAGATAGGAAAAATAGGAAAAATAGGAAAAATAGGAAAAATAGAAAATACAGTCGTGCCCTGCTGGATGATTACCCTGTTTAATGACAAATCCGCTTAACATTGAACTTTTTGCGATCACAAAAGCGA